GCCCTGCACGGGCAGCAGGAACGCAGAAGAAAGTGCTGGAGAAGAAAGTCCCACCAATGATCCCCAGGCCCACCTCTTCCCGCATAGTTACCTCTCCTGGGACCCATGGAACAGGCAGGTGGGCACTCCACCCAGGAGGGCAGAGAGGACAGTGGAAGACAGAGTTCACCTGCCAGCACTGCTGTGGTCCAGAAGGGGATGAGGGTGAGAGAATGGTGTGGAGAGCAGCCCACAGCTGCTGGGTGCACAGCCTCCGGCTGCTGTGGAGGGGCTACTGCTCTCCACAAGGGTGGGCAGGACAGCATTCCAAGGAGTGGTACTTGGCATGAAGGAAGCAGAAACATTTAGGTGGGCTTTGGTGACATAGCAGGACCAAAAAATTGTGGGCAAATGTGGCCACCATTCAGACCCACTGCTAGCTTCATCCCAGTCCTCTTTGCCATTGAGCCCTGACAGGCCCTCAGAGTCCTTCCCTCATACCCTCACTTGGGCTGTCATCCACTCAGTAAGTACCGACTGTGTGCCTCGATGTGCTGGCACCAAGCAATCACTGCGGATGTAGTCTGTGGGGTCATAAGCCTGCTGTGCTCTATGCTGCGGCCCAGTTGGGGTCACAGAGAGGATAAATGCTTCAAAGTCAGGGGAGCCAGCCTCTGCTTTGACTCTGTCACCTCAGTGGGTCCTGTCAAGTGTTCCCCACTACTCCTTCCTTTGATCTGGTAAGAGACCTGGTGCCTTGGCGGGCCACCTCTCCTCCGTGCCATGAAGTCTGGTTATAGGCCTAGGTCTAGGACTCCTCTAATACGCCTGTGCCCCTGGCCATAGAAGACAGCAGGCATGTGATTCAGTCCTGGACAAGCAGAACTTTAATGTGTGTGTGTGTGTGTGTGTGTGTGTGTGTGTGTGTGTGTGTGTACACGGAGCTACATCCCGGCCTCTTTTTAAATTTTTAATTTTGAGACAGAGTCTTATTAAGTTGCTCAGTTGCCCAGGCTGGACTTGAATTTACCACCCTCCTGCCTCAGCCTCCTGGAGTGCTGGGATTACAGGCATGCATCCCCATGCCTGGCTTAGAACTTGAAATATTTCCCTGTATGTTTGAGACTAGGAAAGAGATTATCTTTTTCTTGAGCTGATACAAGCCTGGACTTCTCCATGGCCATGTTCCCACCCACTTCCCTACGTGACAGAAGGTTTCTGCAGTGGAGAGGATACCGGGAGGGCAAGACACAGATGAATGCAGAGGAGAGAGGGAGAGAATAGATGACATTATTTGAATCAATGGAGACCAGGCCAGCTTCAGCCCAAGCTGCCAAGTGACTCAAGCCCATGAATTCCCTCTGCGTTAAGCTGGAGATTGGGACCTCTTGTAGAGGGAGGCAGGTAGGGCAGGGGCCAGCACTGAGTAAGGAAAGACCTTATTTCTGCAGATAGCAGGGGGGAAATGCAAAACGGGTTCTGAAGAACAATTCTGCCTATGCCTGTAACTACAATGACATTGTTTTATGCTTTGCATGCCATTGTCTCTGCACTGATGAACATTTAGAAGGGGACTGGGTGTGTGTCTGGTCACATTTCCCTGTGCATGTGGAGCTGAGTGTGTTTAGGGGTCCTGCCTCCTCTGTGGTTTTAAGTCCCCCCAGGGCCTGGGATTTCTTGCTCCCACATTTCCCCTCTAGTCACGAACTGTTATGTTCATATGGTTATCTTGGTAAGGGGCTTTGTGTTTTGCAAAGCACATTCCCCTGCTTGCTCTCACTGTATGCTCAGAGCCTCTGAGATGAAGTCAGGGCTGCGATTGCTATTCCAGCCTTTCAGACTGAGGAAGGGAGGCTCAGGTTCTAGACTCCAACTCCAAAAAGGAAGTCTCCCACAGGGGCCATGCTGTGATCTCCCAGGTCAGGGATGGCACTTGGGGTGGGGTGGAGGGATCCCTGGATTTGGAGCCAGGGGGTATAGAATTGAATCCCACTCTTTTGCTAACTGATCAAATCCATCAGATCCTTCTGGATCTCAATTTCCAAATCTGTCAAATGAGGGGAATAGGGATGATATTTTCTTTAAGGATTCTTACTCCCTACCAGGAGATGATTGCAGATTAGGGAGTTTTTATAAAATTGTGAGGGCTGTTTTATGACTGGAGGGCTGAGTGTGCTGGGCCCAGTGCACAGCTCTTCCTAATACCATGTTCAGTGCCGTCATGTTGAACTTGAAATCACCATGAGGAGAAGATTACCCCAAGGTAGTTGAGAAATGCTAAGAATCAGGCCTTTGTTTTCCCATGGACAGTCTCAATTGTTTATCAACACACTTGTGATGGGATGGAAGGAGAGAGAAGACTGATATTTAAGGAGAGCTGTATTAGTTGAACCTCCTATCATGAACTCTTACTCCCTCTCTCACAGCTCCTGGGAGCAGATACTGAGTTTATCTCACAGACGAGGTCATTAAAACATAGGGTTGTAACTTGCTCAAAGACACACAATAGATGCTAGTGTGGAGTTGAAGTGGGGTCTCACGTTCTCTCTGATTCCCACGTGGTATCCCAAAGATGAATTCATTAGCATCTGCTTTTATTCTGAGTTCTAACCCAGCAGTCGCAAGGTGCAACTTAGTTTCATAACATTTAATAGCCTGGTTTGGATTTCACCGTCTCCTGTCTGGGGCTTGGAGAAAGATGAAGAGGAGCACAGGGCACGGAGTTGGCCACAAGGGAACGTGCCGACCATCATGGAGCTCCACAGTTCCAGGTCTTAGTTGCGTAAATGCCTCCTCAAAGTCAGGCGACACCACGAAGGGCCGAAGGGCCATTTAGAGCATGCAGGTGTGCAGAGTGAGAAAGTCAAGTCCCACTTTTCTCTCTCCCCTCTCAGGCTCAGCTCCCTCATCTGCCAAGGAGGCGCCATCTTGGATTGTGCCTGCTCTGCCTCCCTGGGTGTCCGTGGTATGGATGGGGGAAGGGTCTCCGGGGGGCCTCTGGAGTCTGATACACAGCACAGATGTAAGGGAATGATCACGTGTCTCAGCTGAGAACCTTTCCTCCTGTTGCTAAGAGAGAAAGGGCCGTCTGTTTTTCTTCTCCTGGCATCTCTGGCTCCACACACTCCCCAGCCCTTTTCCCTTCTATTTTTATACCTCCAGAGCTTCATATAATGATGTCCTGCCTGCTTCAAGCTAGATGAGGGTGGCAGACAGAAAAAAATATATAGAAAGGACCTAAACAAAATGAAAATCTGTTTCCTGGTGGAAAAGATGACAGACGGGTTCAGGGGCCGGGAGTGGCAACTGCAGTACTCTCAGACGGCAAGCAAGGCTGTGCCTGGCCTCTGCGGCTCACCCGCCTGGCCCCAGGTAGGGTAAGCCGGTTCCAGGAGAGGCAGAAGCATCCCCCAGGCGCCTGGGGGACCCGGAAGTGGGGCCGTTGGGAAGATGAAATTAACAATCATTAGTACCTTGGGTGCTTCGGTGCCTTCATTTCATCCTCACAATAATTTTATGAGAATATATATTATCACTTTTATTTTCTAATTGAGGCAAAGGGAGGTGCAGAGTAGGAGGGACCTAAGGTCCCTGTCCAGTGGCCTTTCCCCCAGCAGACCCAGTAGAAGAGGGGAGCTGGGCAGTGGTGGAGGCCAGGACTTTTATTCAGCACTGCAGGACCTTGATTGGTTCCTCCGCTTCCACCCACGCCCCCTGCAGCCCATTCTCCGCGTTGCAGCTGGAGGGAACAGTTAACAAACGAAAGCCACAGGATCTCCTATACTCTAACACCCACATCCCTCCCACCACAGCAGCAGTGAATCCCAGGGCCTTATTGATCACCCCGCCAGACCAGCCTCCTCCCAGGGCCCCACTCCTTACCCTACCTTCATCCAGCCTAGGTCCTTCTGCTCCTTCCACTCGCTCGTGTCAGGCTTTCCACCTGCTGAACCCGCACCTCTTACGACTGCCTCTGCACCTTCAGGACTGGGTTAATTTTCATGCAGGACCTCAGAGGGTCATCTCCCAAACCCCAGCTTGCTGTCCTACCCCTGCCATTTCCTGTCACATGTCACCGACCATTTAAACTTCACCCAATAGCGATAATCACTACCTAACGGGTTCTTGCTGATTTACTTGGCTATCTTCTGTGTCTTCGCACCAGACAACCAATTCCAGGAGAATAATGATGAGTGGTTTCTCTGAAAACTCTAACCTACACCATACAATAGAGGCTGGCGCATGGCAAATACACGATAAATATTTATCGGGGGCTTGAATTGTTACTGATATATAATCACCCCAGAAGGGCAAGCTTGTGACGGGACAAGGAAGAAAAAGCCTTCTCATTTGCTGTCCTTTCTGGGTGTCGCGCTTTGTGCTTCTCTCACAAGCCTATGGGAAAGATCCCTGGATTCCCATTTCGTAGATGGAGCGATGGAAGCTCAGTTATTTAAAGGCACTTTGTGGAGGCCGCACTGCTCAGCTGGAACCCTGTCCTGCTCGCTGCAGTGCCATGTACTCGTGGGTGTGCGGAAATGTCTCCGCGGTTGATGTGCATGGAAAGGGTGTGTCTGCCGCTGCAAAATCTTGTGTTTGTGAAGCCTTCTGAGGAGGAGGAGGAGCAGGCGGTGCGAGAGAGAGGATCAGGCCAAGACCCAAAGGGCCGCCGGAAGGGAGGGGGCTCCCCTGGTAAATCACAAAGGCTCTACCCAAAGCCCAGACCTTGGGGAGCAGTCTGCAGCCCAGAGAGCCCCAGGAGGCGAGGCCCGCAGAAAGGTTGGGGTGGGGGTGGCTGCAGGTGCCGCCAAGACGGGAGGCGGCCGGAGTGCGGGCCCTCTGCCCTCGCGGAGCTCGTCTAGGACAGGTCGCGCCCAGAGCCTGCTGCGGGAGCCCGCGTCCTGCGCTAGGTGGCGAAATGCGGAGGGGCCCTGCTATTCGGGGGAATGCGGTAGTGATGTATAACGTTTGAAAGATGTGGCCTGCAGGGCGCCGGCACTAGCTCCACTGCTCGCGGCAGAGCTGCGGGAGTGAGCGCCGCGCTCCGGGATCCCCAGCCCCGCGCGTTCCCGAGCGCCCGGCCCCACACGGACCCTCCGGCCCGGGAACAGGAGCGGAGCCCGCTTGCCCTGCTCTGCAGCTCGAGCATGAGTCGAGAGGGCTGAGCGAGAGGGCGGTGCTCGGCGCGGCAAGGTAGGAGAAGGCGCTGCGCCTGCCGCCGAGGCGCGGAAGGCTGGGGTGGCGCCGCCCGGGCGCGTGGGAGTGGCGGCCTGCGGCCGTGGGGACCCCGCGTGGGGGTTGGAGGCGGCGGGGCCGGTGCGAGGCCTCGGGAGGTGGGTCCGCCGCTCCTGGTGGGGCGCGTGTCGCCGCGCAGCGCGGGCGGGCGGCGGTGGCTGCCTGCGCAAAGTTTTGGGCAGCGCGCAAGGCGCAGGCGAGGCCGCGGCGCACGGCCGCGCAAGTTGTGGTCGGGGCGGTAGGCGAGCCCGGGGCCCACGCGGACTCGCCCGCGGCCGGGACGAGCGGCTTGTGCTCCCGCACCCCGGCGAGGCGGGGTAACGCGGGCGTTTAACCCTTCTCCTCCCGGGGGAGCAACTTCGTCAGCGTGTGGGGGGCCTCGGGCTGCCCGGCGGCGTGGAGGCTGTAGCTCTGGCCGCACCGCCCGCCCGCCCCGCGTGCTCTTTCCATTTCTACCCGCGTGGCTTTCCTTGAACTAGGCAAACTGGCTTGGGGTGCCTCCTCCACCGCAGTCTGTGATTTTACCTCTCGGTCCGGTCCACCGGATACATTTTCCCCCGCCCCCTCCAGCTTGGCTCTTTGATACTGCCTTGAAAAATGAGATAATTAATCAATTAGGTTAGTGGTCAATTAGGCATAATCTTGTAGGAAAATAATTAAGCCTGGCTCTCTGGACTTTCCTTGGAGATGAGGTGGGAATCCGGCCCAGGTACAGAGGCTGTCCCTAAAAGATAGGGCCAGGGGAAATTTCTGGGAATTTAAGATTTAAAAGATCCAGTGTGTGGTGGTGGAGGAGGTTGTAGGGTAGAGTTGTGTGTGTGTGCGTGCGCGCGCGCGTGTGTGTGTTTGCCAAGGAAATTAACCCTTTTCGGCGCAGTCCCGGTGCACTTTGCAGGCTGCCCGTTTCCAACAGCTGGTGTGTCCCCCGCTGGCCTGGGTTCCCATCCGATCTCCGGAGCGCTTGCCTGCCTCTCGGCCCCAGGGGCTTTGCTGTGGCTTGGGGTGGGGGCGAGTTCCCTGGGATGGATGCATGCATTTTAGTTTCGCGCAGGCAGAATCGCGGCGTTGCAAACACAGGTTCCTGCACCGCGCCTTCCCAGAACACAGGTTTCCCCCGTCGTGTTAAATAAAGCGGTTAGCAAATAGGTGCGAAAAGGAGACTGCCTCCAGGGCTGGGAAGTTGTGCGAGGCGAGGCGCTGGGCTTCCGATTCTTTTTGGAATGCCTGGCGGGGTTTGGCACTGCGGTACAGGATTACAGTACAGCCATATTCAAGAGGGCTCTGAGCTCCTAGCTCTCCACCGCTGCAGCCTGTCTTCAACAGACTTTGCTGCTCAGATTCTTCTTGCACGGATCTTGCAGAGGATTTCATACAGGCACCATGTGCATTTCAGCTTCTTTCGGGCTCAGTTTTAGGCTTCTTTCATCTGTTTATGTATCTGGACCCTAGATAGTAGATTCTAGCTCGGAAGGTAAAATCGTAGAGGTGATCCCAGGACAGAGGGATTTTTGCAACAGGTCCTAGGTCTGAGGTTTCTCGTCATGCATCCCCTTGGCATTTAGCGACCTGGGCTCCAGTGTCCCTACCCCAGAACTGAAGGGGTTGGGCCAGGTGGTCTCTGGAAGCCCCTGCAGTGCTGACATTAGCTGCTGCTACATTTTATGGCTTTTTCCCCCCAGTCTGAGCTGAGGGGAGGAGTAGCTGAGCCCCGCAGTGTGACAGCAGCGTGTTCCTCACTCCAGTAGAAAGGGATGGGGCTAGCCGGGGCTGACTAGCAAATAGAAATTGCCCAGCTGGAAGACTGCCTAGTGATATGGCGTCCAGGGACACCTGCTAGCCACAGGCTCCCTCCCGCTTCTTCAGACGAAGGGTCACCATTCAGCCTCAGTCTTGGCCAAGGTTTTTTTTTTTTTTTCCTGATCGAAGCTGGACTCAGCCAGTTGCCTCACAGCAACCATATTTTTTAATTTTTTTGGTCAAACTCTAGCTCTAGCAAAGACCAGGCTTTCTTTCTGAGATTGAACCTTTTCCTCCCCATGCTGAGAAGGGATATGGAGGGAGAAGAGAGAGGAAAAAAAAGCAGGAGGGGTGGAATGGTAGTGGAAAGGGAGAGATTTCAAGACAGAGGTAGCTTAAGACTTCAGATACATCCAGACAGTGGGAAAGAGGGAGAAGAGAGGAGGGAGGAAGAGGTAGAGGAGGAGCAGGAGGAAGAGGGGGACCAGCACTGGAGAGGGAGAGAAGACAGAGGACAAGACCAGCGCCAAGAGGGAGTGACCAGTGCTCCCAGGAAGCAAGTCTATCATGTGGCTTGGACAGAATGCTGAGGAGACCCCACACTACACCAGCCTCATTCCAGACAGACAGCTGCTGGAACTCTGGCACAATCAGGCACTTCACCGGACTCGAACTCTGTTTCCTATTTTTTCCTTGGCTGAGACGCCAGTCGGTGTGGCTGGGCTGGGGAAGCCAGGGGGATTTGTTTGTGGAGGAGAGTGAGCTATTGTCCCTCCTTGGGGCCTCCATTCCAACAGGTGAGGACCTGAACAGCTTTGAAAGAGGTGTTGCTTTTTAGATCTCTCTTGCACAGAATGGACACCTTTTTAAAATGTGTATTATTTGTTTAACTTTGGGGGGAAATAAAAATGAAGGTTGGGATGCCAAACTCCCTTGCATACCACTAAGAACGTAAAGGGATGGAAATGACTCAAATCACTTTCTCCTGCCTGCTCTCCTGTCCTGTCCCAACTCTTGGAGCCCCCAGCTCCTCTCCTGGCCCCTCCATGGCCCTTCCACAGTTTGACATGTGCTTTCGAAAATGGCTTTCATCGTGTTGCTCCCCAGATCAGAAACTGAAAGGTCCCCCTGTTGCCTAAAGCATATTATTGAAATTCCAGACCACAGACTTCAAGGTTTTTCACTGTCTGAACTTCTTGCTCCTCCTAACACACTTGTCACATACATGCACACCCATGCTACAGTCACACCATGCACACACTATACTTATATGCCAAAACACAGACACCCTCACATATATGCCCACAACATCACATACCCTTAGGGGCCTGCACACAGCATCTTACATGCTTCCACACACTCATGCACACTGTACTCATTCATCCATACTTACATGCATACATAAACATGCATCCTCACACACATGCACATAGCATCACATGGACCCTCACAACACACTACAGTCACACCCACACACTTATGCACATGCACAAACACCCAAGTACCACATTTACACACAGCATCACATACACTCTTACACATGTTTTCACAGCATTAGACACGTGCTCATATACACATGTTCGTTAAGCTATGCACACCTTACACACATAAATACACAGATACCCTTACACATACATACAGATCACAAATCTCAACACATTCCATTTATAGCCACACACCAAATCATGCAGCATCATACACACCTCCACACACACTCTACAATCACCTCACATGCACATGTGCACAACCCCCCCCCACTACATCCATACCCACACCCCTAAGGGACTCATACATACACATGCACACACCAGTACACTCAGCATCATATACCTTCCCATATAGTGCACACCACATATGCACATGCATCCCCACATAGCTGGCTACCTTTGCAAGTGCTAGTTTTCCCTGTTATCTGGAACACATGTTCTTATTCCTTGGCCTTGTGGGCCCTATGCATCCCTGAGGTCCCGTCTCACAATCGACGTCACTCCAAGGTCCCTATCCCTCAGGAAGCTGCTGCTCCCTCTTCACACAATTCTCTTAAAGTCCGTGTCTTAAGTTTCCACCTGCTTGTTTCTGCCAACAGACCATGCATCCCGCAGAGCAGCGTGACTAGATAGACACCAGGAAATGCATGTGTATGTGTCTGTCCCCTTAATGCTGTGTTGTGCATGGAGAGGTGCCCAACAACTAAGGAATATAGGAGCACTGAATGTTTTGGGGCTTATTTTTAAATAACAAGAACGCTAATATTAGTTGGGTTTATTTTTAAAATTACATTAAATTATTTCACCAATCTTCACAATGGCCCTATGTAATTGTGTTATTATACTTATTTTACAGAAAAAGCTGGGCTCCAAAAGGTTATATAAATTGGAAGGGACAGTGGGGTCTGGGTCTGGGTTGAAACCCACAACAGGTGTGTGTTGTGTTGCTTCTGTTCTTATGGTTGCTCTCTAAGTGGGTCTGTGTTAAAGAGGCAAGTTTTCTAACTCTGCTTTATATGCCCAGTATTATTTAGAGCTTAAGTTTATGGATCCTTTAGCTCGTGTGTTACACGTGAGAGGAAGAGGCCTATGTGAGAAGTTAATGTGCCAAGCCTCTGGAGCCAGGAGGAAGTGGAGGGTGTTGTACATAGGTCTTGGGGCCAGGCCTCATGCTGTGTCCTTACATGCAAGAGCTGATCCCAGAAAGGAAAGAAGAACCTTCTGCCTTTGCTTTAGTATGTGACTTAATGGTACAGATGGAAGCTAGCCAGCTGGACTTCCTCCGGGAGAGGCATGGGCTTTGATCGCACTCAGGTCCGGGGCCACAGCACACTTGAAGGTCTATATCCTCTGGGACAACTGCATTAGGAGATCCCTGTGTCTCCCAGTCTTACTTATCTGCATGACTGAGGATTTCTTTGAATCAGAACCATTGACAGAGCTTGTAGCTTGAGATGGGATGGTCACTGGGGACATCCTTCGTAGTTCTGGAAGTCTACCATAAAACCTGATGCGACGGTTGAAGACGTGGAAGTTGGGCTACTTTGTCAGTGAGGCAGTGGGCGCTGGAGGCCACCAGAGCTTGGCTTTGATAGCATCTGCCTTCTGGGTAGGGCAGTGCAGTTATAACCCCTTACTGTAGGCTTCCTGTATGTCAGGCACTGGGCTGAGCATATTACCAGTATTCTCTCATTCGATCTTTCTAGAAATCCAAGAATAGTGCTTTTATCGTCA